TTTTTTTTGTGCTTAAAACCCCTCAAAAGCAGCTGGGGAAGTGGTGGAGGAGACAACATGTTGCATCATTGCAGCCCATCCATCCATCCATCCATCCATCCCTGAGGATGGATGACATAGATGTGGACAGTGCAAGCTATACTCAGTGGAGATACTGGCACTGATAGTAATGAGTGGTAAATTAAGGCCTTATTTACATTTCATGAGGGATGACCACATAAAACTTAAAGATATCCGAGCCCTCTGCTTCCTTCAGTTTAGATCCACTGCGATATGAGGTGCATCAGAGCACTTCATTCCGTGTTTTTAGCTGGGGTAGAATTCCCATCACATTTTCTCGTCTGTTCTCTTTTTTTTATTTATTTTTTTTTTCTTCCTGCCTTTTATTTTATTCCTGGCTCTTTCTGGTCTCCTTTTCCAGCTGCTCACTATTATCACCTCCAATTCTAATCCCTCCTTAACTGCTCCCATAATCACCCCTTGATTTGGGAACCTGGATTCCTACCCCTTCCATCCACAGGTTGTCCTTGGATTTCCTGATCTCAGCTTGTTCCAGTGTCCTGGAGCCCTCAGTTGCTTTGGTCTGTCCCTGTTTACATGGGGATGAAGGGAACAATTAGCTAGAGCACATGGAATTTTGGTGGAGGGAAGAAGTTTGATGTGCTCCATGCACCAAGGTTTCCCTTCCCTGCTCCTCCTGGCCCGTGGCACCACTCCTGCCTTGGGAATTTGGATAAACAGCTGTGCTGATCCCCCCAAATTCCAAGTCCACTCCAGACTTGAGAGTTCCAGGCTTGAATTTCGCTTCCTGGCTCATTTTGGTGGAGCACTTCCTCTCCATTTCCATGTTTTACCCACTGACCACCACATTCTTCTCCTCTCCAAGATCTCACAGATGTCAGGGAGCAAGGACTTCTGTGAGCTCCCTTTTGGGCACCAAAATTCCCACTGTCCACTGCTTTTTTTCGGGGGGTTCCTTTGTTTCAGAGCCCACAGCCCACCAGTGGGGCAACCTCCCCTGGCCTGGGGCATCCCACAGTCCACAGGAATTCCCTGCCCCAGGCACAGTTTGTGGATGTAAACCCAGGGAGACAACATGGATACAGCACCATCAGTGAGAGCCCAGCATTTTTCATTTCTGAATTCCAGGCAAAGGGATCTCAAGAGAAAAAAAATCCCCCCATGATGCTGAACTGAAAACATTGCAGTGACTGATTCCACTCCTCGGTCAGCACCTCTGGTTCCAGTCCCTCTGGAGCACATCAGATGCAGTTTAAAATTTGCATTTTCCTGATGGCAGCTTCTCCCTGGAACTGCTTCCAAATCCATAGCCCAATCCAGTTCAATCTTGGATATTAATCTATTGTATTAATACACTCTCCCTCCTCTTTTCTCTCCCCATCCAGTGCTAAAGTGCACTAAGATGAGTCTGAAAAACACCAAGGGATTTGTTTCCCACGTGCTTGCAGTGCAATCCAGGAGCAGCATGGGAACGGTGAGAACAGGAATTACCTTCCTTGCTGCAGGACGGTGGATTTCTGACAGCCTCGTCCTGAGGTGAGACATCCCCACGTCTTCACCTGCTGCATAAAACTCTCTCCTGTCCAAAACTGTCTCCCCAGAGAGGTATTTATGGATTGGAAGTGAGTCAACACTTGCTTTTCTTCCAAGGAAAGTCTGTTTTCATCTGTCCTCCTGTACCTTCTCCTTTTTCTGGCAGCTTCAACTGAGAGGACTCTCAGTGCTGAGGGAGAATTAGGAATATGAAACGATCCTGTGAAAGAATTAGTCAAGGGCAGCAATTTTAAATACCAGACATGAATCTTCCAGTGTGTCCTGAACTGGATCCCACTTAAAAGGAAACTCTTTGTAATTAAATCATTGACAAAGACCAAAGAAAAGTTCTGGATTCAGGGAACTTCTCAGAGATTGTCTTAACTGGGAATCTCCAAACCTTTGAATGTTGCAACTTGCAGATGTTTTCTTGAAGAGGGGAATTTCTTATTAGTCACTTCTGTGAAGATTTTTGCACAATTAGGTCAAGCAGACAATTATTCACCCTCCAGATCCAGGACAGCACAAGGTCAGGCCAGTTCCAACTGCTCTCCTGACAACTTGCTTCAAATGGCCAGTTTCTGAAGGAAACTGAACTGTGCTTGGACAGCTCTCTGAGGAATTTCCGATGAATCCATCTGATTCACTTCCATGCCCGGCTCCCTGAGCTGCTCAGCTCACTCCACCTCTCCAGGGACGTGTCATTGTTCCTGTCAGAGGCTCGTCGGAATCGGGGCCTCTACCCCGAGTTCCTGCAGCAGCTCTGAGGAAAGTTCACATCAGCTTTGGGAGCCCAGAGTGACCCCACACCACCCTGGCACCCCATCCTGTGTTTTCCTTATTAAGCAGCTCCACGAGCTGGTTCAGAGCTGTCTTTTGCCAAGGCAAGGGGTGGGATCAGTTTTAAAGTCACTGCCAGGGGACCAAGCTGCTCGTGGGGCATCTCAGCACATGATTCCTCCAGTTCTCTACACAAAACCCTCTGTGGATGGACAAAAAATCTGCAGAAGGAAGGAAGGAACTGAAGCCACCAAGAGACAAAAACCAACCAACCAACCAAACAAAAAACCCCAACAACAACAACAAAACCCAAACAAACAAACAAAAAACCACAAAACAAAAAAACACAAACCAAAAAAGGGTCCTTTTCTTTCTCTCTGCTTTGATCTCCAAGCGTGGTGAGAAAAGAAACGTGGCAAAGTTATCCCAAAAATACGCCTTACCCTGCCTCCCGGGCCACACTCTGCACAGCTGCAGGAGAAACACCTGGATTCAGGACACACAGCTTTTAGCAAAGGGTTTGCCACCCGCAGCCACGCGTGGAGAAGAAAGGACCCAACTCAATTAGGACGTGCAAAGGTGTGCAAAGACCCACTTGGACACATAAGCAACAGAAACATCAGATACAGAGGAGGATTTTTTTTTCCTTTTCACGGAGAAATGCAAGAGGGATAAAAAGAAACCCCCTCTGACCATGAAGAGCAGCTCTTGGGCGCAGCATCCCCAAAGTCCCACCCGTGCACTCCCACCCTGAGCCCCCCCAGCACACACTTCCATCCCCAAATTGCTGCGGAGGTGGGAGAGGTCGGGATTTTAGAGGCTGGAAACGCCTGATCCAAACTCCTGTGGGCAGCCACAAGTCAGTTCCCAGGGCAGTGTTTTTTGGAAAGCCCTGGGGGTCGGGTTACTAAAGGCTGTGTCCAAGCCCACGTGTGAGGTTACAGTGGCAACCACAAATGTGGCATTTCCCGGAGTTTCAAGGCTTGGCTTCACCTACAAAAACTTCACCAGCTTCCTAAGCTTCCTTTGGGGTGCGGGGGGGGGGGCAGAATTTAATGAGGAAAACCCACAGTGAGCTGGAAGATCATCCCACCAACAGTGCACGGACTGCACCTGGGGGGGCTGAGAGCTGCTGGCAGCTCCCACCTCCCGCCCCCGAGCTGGGAAGACGCAGGTCCGAGTAGTTCTGTAACAAAAACCAGTCCCAAACTTCTGCCCTCACCTCCAGCAGCTCCTCAACCCTTTAATCCCCGCAGTGACCTTCCCAGCACCTCCCACCTGCCCCGAGGCAGAGCTGTGCCCCTCTCACACCGCATCCAGCTTAACTCCATCAGCCTGCAGCTGATGAAACAACCCCCCTCTGTCCGTAATTTAAAAAAAAACAAACAAACCAAACGTGCCCCGCCCAGTGGCTGCTGTGCCAGGTGACCATTTCCATGGGCCCGATTTGCCTGGATTTTCCATGAGATTCGGGCAGCTCCCTGCTCAGCCCCCTGTGAACACTCCCCCTCTCACCTGGCCGTGGCCCTGCTGCACAATTCCCTTATCCTGAGGTCAGGAATTCCAGCTGCTCCAGCTCCGTCCTGCCCCTCCTCTGCTCTCCCCGCTCCGTCCAGGTGAACAACGAGGAGAAGGATTTTTAACCCCGTTAAGGGAATCCCCCGGGGGTTTATGGGGCTCTGGTTTTCCAGCTGGGGAGAGCCCGCATTTGATGTGGGATCTCCACCCCGCGGGCGTCTTTTCCAAAGCCTTCACCTTTCCCCCCGCATTCCCCAGCCGGTGGTTGCTTATCCTGCTTGGCTTTGATCTCTCTGGCGTGGAAAAATTCTCCAGGGATGCTCCATTAGGGAAACAACACCCCGAGACACAACTGATGCCTTCAGATCATAAACATCCTAAGGGGAACAGGGACCTTTTCCAGCTTCAAGGGCTCTTGGGCTTCCCTGTGTTTCAGCTCTCCAATTCCATGCAGGAGCAATTTCCAGCAGTAATTGTCAGTTTTCCCTGAGCTGTGAAAAAATTAAAGGCCAGTTATTTCTTCTCCATTTCTGTGAATCGCTGAAAAATAAAAGGATACGAAGGAAGAAGGCAAAGCTTTTTGGACCAAGTAACAAACCAGCGTCATTTCCTTAAAGTCCATGAAAAATAAATCAAAATATGAGCAAGGAAATTCAGGGTAGAAGCAGGTTTAGGCTGCCACTGGTTTTAGGAGAGAAAGAGCTAAACTGATGCCTTTATAATCCCCAAATGTTGATATCTCTAGAATTTACTTATTTATAAAATGTATATAAAATTTGGACATTTCTATTAAAAATAAATTTATATAAAATAAATTTTCTATTAAAAATAAAATTAATATAAAATAAAAATTATATAGATATAAAATAATATAGAAGTCAAAACAATAGATATCAAAATAATATAGAAGTCAAAAATTCTATAAAAATTAAAATTGTGTGGAAATGGAAGTGTGTATAAATTTATACATTTCTTCTAACAAAAATACAGTTCTACTCCCATCAAAATTCGGGAAGTCTCAATTATCTCTGAATTACTTGATTTGCAGCCAAAGCCAGTTTAATGGATTTTGATGACTGGGATAAAAATCCGGAAGGTTGTCCGGGACCTTTTTTTCAAGGTTGGCTGATGTAGAAACTAAGGAAAACATGTGGAACGGGCTGCCATGTGCACCTGGCTCTTTCCCACATCATCCCACGACATTCCCGACTCCCCTGGGAACAGGAAAACACGTGCAGAGCCCTGTTCTCACAGTAGGGTGTTACTGGAATGCCATTCCATCACAAGCAGAGGGTGGTTCTAGTGACAGGCAAACAAACTCCCCCAGGAGTCCTAAAGGACAATATAATGTAAATGTTATAATTAACATCTCTTAATTAATATGGAATCTGGTGAACAAAACTCCTACAAAACCTTGCCTTCCCCAAGCCCACACTGTGCCTACAGCCTTTAGTGCATCAACAACCCCAAATCCAAACCAATAAACCTTCCCCCAGACACTCAGAGCTGCAGAGACCAAGGCCCAGCACCAAATTATCCCGGATTTTCCCACTGGAGGAGAAGGATCCGACCCCAAGAGCCTCTTCACTCACCTGTGACAGGGGAACCCATCCCGTTGCCACCACGTTCACAGCCACCCGTTGCTTCCAGGCTCCGGAAGAACCAGCAGCCAGCCAAGTTCAGAGGAACGATCTGGAGGTGAAAAGCTCCTCCACCTGTTCCAAGAACTCCCCAGCCCTCAGCTGCACCCTTGGAGAGACAACACTGGTGCGCAGCCTATGGATCACCACGAAAGCAAAGAGGCCAAAGAGCTCTCAGCATTTTTTTTTAATGTATATTTGGCAAGCTTACAAGGCAACAGTTCGCTTCCCTGGGACCTTTTACTTCCCTGGAAATTCCAAGAGCCGCATTTAAAGGGGAACTGGCAGATGCAGTTTTATTTCTTATATTATTGTGGGTTTTTTCATCGTGAGGAAATTTGTTTTGCTCCAACAGCGAGGCAAAAACTCTTCAGTCAGGGAGGGGAGTTTTCCACCAAGGCCAGTTTTAGCGGGGCAGTGGGAAAGAAAACTTGGGTTTGTGTGATGAACCACAAAGATCATCTGCAAAAAAAAGGATGAATAACACTTTCTGTGCGGAAACCTGGAATTGCAGGCGCTCGTGGAAGGCTTTGGAATGTGTTAGGAGTTGTAATCCTCCCAGCAGAACCTCAAAAGCCTTGGCTTGTCCTGCCCTTTTAAAAAACCCGGGACTTGACAGCTATTTAAGCAGAACCACAAGTGTTAGAGGTGGGGAAGGCCTGGGGATCATCTGATCTCCTCCACGACTTGAACAGGGAACAGCAACATTCCCCCCGTGCTGCGAAGGGGGTGTGGAAATCCCTGCCGAGGGGAGAATCAGCAGAAGTGGGGCTGCAAGTCCAGGGAAGCGCAGCCCCCTTGCTTTCCCACTCGTTAATGAATTCATCTCCGAGCTCGTGGCGCTGCTCCCGAGCAGAAGGATGAGCTGTGCTGCCCACACAGGAAGAATTCCTCTCTCCAAGTGGTGTTCACCCACTTTCAGCAGGTTCCCCACCAGGGGAAAAAAAAAAAAAAGGCAGTGGCCTTCGTCCTCTACCAAAACACTCATCTCTGATGCTTTTACAGCGATGCTGCTTTGAGTCTTGAGAAACAAACACTCCATAAATCACATCATAAAATGTATCCAGCCTGATGGTTTACAGGAAAGCTCAGCAGTGGCAGGTTTTTGGGGTGTTTGGGGTTGTTTTTGGTGATAATCCACCTTAAAAAAAAAAAGCAGTTTTCTTGTGATGCTGGAGGTAAAACAGTTTATTGTGTGGGGCTCAAAAGTTGAAGTATTTGAAGGTCAACCAGCCACTGCCAACCGAATTCCACCACCCCCACCCCCTTCCTTGTTTTATTGGGATTAATATTTGTGCTTTGCAGCTCTGCTGTAAAATGGACTGTGGTTTTCCTGAACTTTTCACCCAACCTTTTGCTCAGGCCTGGGAGCTCGCAGGGGGCCAGCTCAGTTCTTCTTGTCCTGCTTTGGAAGGGAAGGTGGTTCAGGCCTTGACCTGGGATTTGCTGAGTCTTCTGAGTGTTGCCTTAAAAAGAGCAGCCCCTGGGAGGGCAGGTGGCAGGAGGGTTGGAGAGCAGAGGGATAAAGTCAGGCAGGACCCCAAGCCTGGCAGAGGGAATAAGAGATGGAGAACCAACAACCCCCCTCAAACCCCCACTTTTAAGGACAGAGCTCCTCTCTCGGCTTCACGTGCCACCGTCCGTATGGAGAGGAGGAATGGCACATTCCCAGCTGGAATGTGTGGCTGGGGTGGCAGCCCAGATGCCCTGCTGAACTCTTCTCCATCCCTCCACTCTGCAAGTCTGTGTGGGGAAGATCAGGAGCAGATTTCTCCCGAGACTCCTGGCACTGCTCCTTCCGACCGTGGCCGGCAGCTCCAAGAGAAATGACTCTCTCTTATGTTTTGGCATTTCCAGTGTTGGCAGGAGGGAGGATGGAAGAAAACAAACCTGAGGCTCCCAGAAACTCCATAAACAAACAAAGATTTCTTTTCGGTGTGGTTCTGGAGAGAGCCAGAGGTCTGGGGAGCAGGAGGAGGAGGATTTCAGCCTCAGCACTGGCCAGTGCTTCTTCCAAGCGTGGAAGGAAACGGAGCCTGCACCTCTTCTGCACCTCACACCGTCCCTTCATTCAGCTGAGACGAGGAGGTGATCCAGTTGTTAGGGAGACACCCCTTGGAAAGCACGTGGAATGTGTTTGCTTGGTGGTCTGCCTCCCCCAGGTTTCTTTGCAGTTGGGCTCCTGTGGGCATCCCCTGGGTCCCTGAGGGTCCCCAGGAGCTCCCTGATGCTGTCTGGGATGTCCTCCCAGAGAGGTTTCCCAAGGAGGAGCTCTCCTCTCCCTCCAAGGCTCAGCCCAGCAAGTCCTCCTTAGCTTTTGGTGGAAACTCTGCACACAGAGTTACCTTCAGCACCACTTCAGTGCCCTCAAATCTCCTCCATTTGGGTCCCACTTTGGCACAGCCTCCTGTCCACGAGGATCCTGATGTGGGATCGTGGCCAGCTATTCAGGTAAGGCAAGGAAAATATGAGAGGCCTGATGGAACCCTTTCTTTGTGAGAGCTCCAGTGCCTGTGTGAGGCAGGTTTCCCCAGCTGGAATCTCTACACAAGCTACCAGATGGTCAGGAGGAAACAGTTTCCTCCTTTTCTTCCTCCTGGAAGCTGCTGGGATTGCTGCTGCTCTCAGAGCATCCTCAGTGCCCTTATCCAGCCTCCTGCCACTGTGCAACCACACTCCCAGCGTATTTTTCCAGGGATTCCAGCTTGATTTTGTCCAGGGTTGCGCTCCTTGGGCAGTTTTACTCACAGGTTAATTCATGTCATGCTCAGAAGCACAGAGCTGCATGATTTTTGTGAGTTTACTCACTTAGGTCCTAAGCCTAATCCTGACCTGACTGACTTTCTTACAAATCCAAACCACTGATTCACTGTCACACGCTGCCCATGTGGCCCAAGGAAGCGGTACTGGATAACATAAATATATCTGATTTCTTTCTCCCCTCTCAAAAAAACCCCGGTTGCACCCGATGGAACCAGTTGTTAAATCACAGTTTGTTCGTGATGGTGATTTAAGTCAGAGTCAGGTCAGGCAACCACGATGTCAGGCACCCTGGTTTGGTAAAACTCTGCCTCCTGGACAAACAGGCTGTTTGGCTGTGCAGGCAACCACTGGACAGATGTGATGTGAACAAAAAGCCAGTTGGTCAGACAGCAAGAGCTCAGCTCTCAATCCCATCATTAATGAACAAATGAGTCCCTTCTACCTCTCTGGCTTAGTTGCCTTGCTGACAAAAATGAATAAGCTGTGCTTTTTTCTGCTTTATTTTAGATTTCCCTCCTCTGCTGTGATGTTCTGCAGACTGATTAACGAGGTGTTTTTCTGTGAAACAAGGCTGGTGCTGGGAACAGCCTGCAGGAGATGCTGCTGGAGAAGGGCACATTTTGTCAGGGCTGATACAGCAGAGAGGCCAGAGAGTCAGCCCACTGCCCTGCCATCTCAGGGTTGCTTTGCTGGTTCTCACTCCTTAACCTTCTCTTTTTGGACTGATTGGATCAGAAAACCTGGGGGTGCTTCAGGGAGGCCACCCTTGCAGTGCCCTGGAAACGCTGCTCAATAAAACCACTGAAGTTGCCGCTTTCTCCCCTGAAGTGTCGGTGAAGAACAACGTGCTGCTCCGTTCTTTGGGAGTGCATGTTCCAGGAGGTGGATGCATGCATTTGTAAGTGCATACATAGTCACTTTAGCACTGGCTTCCCTCTGCTCTGACTCCAAGCACAACAGCTCAGCCGCCCTTGGAAGGACTTCACACAGCAGCGCGACGGGGATATTGCGAACTTCCACGAGGGCTTCGCACGAGCAGCGGTAGGAAGGGAGAGCACACGTGTCCCCAAGCCTTCTGAAGGTTCTGTGCCGTGATTTCGGAGCCCCAGGCCTGGGTCCTGGGACAGATTAAGGGTTCCCATTCCCAGATGTTCGCTGCGCCTCGTTGCGACACCTCTTACCTACTCCGGGGCTGACCTTGCGCTGGGCTCGGGACTGTTCACGAGTTTTTTAGTCATTGTGAAGAACAAGGAAAGAGCAACAAACATCTGGTCAGCAGAGCTGCCAAGAGCACATTCCTTCCTTGTTTTTCAACCTTTCAATCCCTTTGTTTTCTGCCTGAAATTCCATTTTGATAAATGCACAGAGAGCCACAGGGCACTGATTAGATGCAACTCCTGGCCCGACCCGTGGCACCAGTGGAAACGCCCACAGACATCCACAGAGCCCAGAACGAGGCTAAGGCCCTGGTGGAACCATCCTACCCGTGCATGGGGGGCTGATCCTACTCCCACTGAGATCAAAGGGAACTTTCCACCAACTTCCTTGGGATCAGGATGGGCTTCAGTGCTGTTGCTGCAGTGAGATGGTGCTCGAGCCCATCCCCTGCCCAGCTGTGGCCTTGACAGCTTCAACAGCTCTCGGGGAGGTGTTTTAATTGGAAGCAACAACTTTATTGAATCTTGGCCCGAGGTGCTGGCACAGCCTGCCCAGACCAGGTGGGGCTGGTCCAACAAAGGCTCGTGAAATATCGAACACGAGAGGGGCCACGTGACAACAGCTTCACCCTCTGGACCTTGGCTGAGCGAGCCTCAGCCTCCTGCACCTCTGCACAGCCCTGTCCTCCTGGAGCACAGCTGCTGACACCTCACCCTGGGTCCAATCCCCCCCCAG